CTCTGGGTGGATGGTGCGAAAACAGGCACCGTTGTTCGAGCCACATGCACCTGGTGACGATGAGGCAGATTACTTTGGGAGTCCGTCGGTTCTGGAGGGTGAAAAAGATGTTTCTGCCGACACCGGCTTTGACCCGAACAACCCCTTCGGAGAGCCTGAACGATCTGGCAACGCTGAAGAGCACAACGAAGAGCCAGAAGAAGGTGCTCGAGATGACGGAGACGAAGATGGCGAAGACTTCGTGGAGAGCGCCAGTGAGAGTGAAGATTCGAGCGCAAGTTCCGACAACGAAGAAGAGCTGCACAAAGAGAAGGCCAGTGTCATCGAGAGCGGCTTGGAGCCAGAGGTAAAAGGGCCTTTGATGCAGAACAAGAGGAGCCGCATGCTGCACACGCAGAACCCTGACCCGAAGAACCATTTGCAGCCTGTTACGTCATGTGGACTCCATGGCATCGGTTTCAACGTCTTGGCTGAGGGGTCGATCTTTAGCTGGCCCAAATGCAGCAAGTGTTTCAAAGATGCTGACAACAAGTCGGTGATAGATGTAGTCAACGCCAGCAAGCGTCGGCGTATCTGAAGGCAGCATGCTTTACCTAAGAAAGCAACTCAAAATGTAGAGAGTTGAGCTAGAGGTGAATGAACTTGCATCAGTGGAGCGTTTTGCTTAGTTGCCACCGCATTCGACGTGAGGTCACTAGAACGGCAAGCATGACGTTTGTTTGGGTGACATGAGGTCCTGTTTCTTTTGACAAGAGGTCGCAGTGTTTTCTTTGTTTGACGTAGCTTGGGCCACGAGGGCAAATGCTCTTGAGGAGCCCCGTTCGGTTCGATTCGTGCCATGAGGGCCCCTGAGTTGTCTCAATTTCTTCTTTGATGATCGTGGCCATGAGGGCTCAGCAACGATCCCGCCTTGAGGGCTCTGTGATTTCAAGGAGACGTGAATTCAATGACATGTTCTAGGAACGCTTCATGTGTTTTCATGTGCTACAACAATTTGTTTTCTTGAAGCTCGCACGCCTTTCCTCGATCATGGCGGCAGCTACCAACCTCACGGAGAGCACTGCAGCGTTTGAAAAGCAGGCCGCGAACTTGGGGCTGGAAGATGGTTGGATTCAAGCTTTGAAGAATGCCGGGGTCACAACATTGGGGCGGTTGGCCTTCAGTTGTGGTCAGCCTGGGACGCCAGTCACCGAACAAGACGTTCGCAACCTGATGACGGCAAGTGACCCTGGTGGCAGGATTACGGTTGGGGACCTTGCAACAATGAGAAGGTTGATCTTCGAAGCACAAACTGCCGTAGTTGCCTTGGCCAGATCTCAAGCCGACCCGAATGCTGATCCAACCTTGAGGAAAATGCCACCGGCAGAACGGAGCTCACGCATCGCCAATCAACGTGTGAGGCTCCAAGGATTGTCAATGGAAGGGAACATGGAGGTGGCTCACCAGGTCTACGACCAGCTGAATGGAATGATGGAGGCTGACACCTTGAAGTACCTGGCACTGTCGAAGTGCATCACGCGGATGCAAGAGATCACTTCAGCAAAGCCTCCCAAAGAGCTGAAGCTGGACACCAGTGGCACTGGAATTACGGTCAAAGACTCAATTACAGAGCAGCAATGCTCAACTGGCACAGAACTGGACCTGTTGGAGGCCATGACGCGCCGGAGCCTTGCCTTTGATGCAATGGGTTTGGTCGACTTTCACATCTTCCAGAAATGGATTCAATACCTCTTCAACTTGATGCGTCAGCCTCCGCCGCCAAACTTCAAGGCACCCACGTTGACACAGTTGCTCAGGGCAGACCGTCAAGCATTTGTTCGACTTCAGGAGTTGAGCCGCGACGGCATCAAACCCCACGCAGATGGGACTCGGCCTTTGGACGCCTTGATCGACAACCTCCCCAAGGACCACACAGTCGTGTACTACATGCTGCCCACAGCCCAGGAGAAGACGCACCCAAAGCCTGCGAAGCCGGCAACGCAGAAAACAGAAACTGCGTCATGGAAGAACTGGAGCAACGAAAAGAGTTCTTCATGGAAGAGTGCAAAGCAGACACAATGGAAGAAGGGCAGCGGCAAAACTGGTGGATCCGGGAAGTTGCCCTACCAGTTGAAGAATTGTGCCTCGGCCACGCCAGAAGGCAAACGGTTGTGCTTCGCCTACAACATCGATGGTTGTGACAAGGCAGCAGCAGGCGACTCGCGCGAAAAGGGCGTGCACGTGTGTGCCACGAAGGGGTGCTTTGGCAACCACCCCCACTACTCGTGCCCCAAGAAGTGACAGAAAGGGTGGGCTGGGGACGAGCCCAAGCATGATGTCGTCCCGAGAATTCAATGCAAAGTTTCTCCTGCTGACGAAGATCAACAAGGAGCACAGATCTCATCTTCTGCTGCAGACGTCTGTCAAAGCAGTTTCCAAAGCAGAGGATCAGCAGAGTTTCACAAAGAAGAACATGATGGCTGCCACCACCATACAGTTCCTATACAAGGTGGCGAGATACAAGAGACCAGGCCGTTCTGCATCGAATTTTGCTCCGGTACAGGTGGCCTAACGGCCCAACTGCGAGCGCTTGGCTTGACCTCCAGCTACGGAGTCGATCGAGTCGTGAAACCAAGATCCAAGTGCCCCATCGTCAAGGTTGACCTCACAACTCCACATGGCGAAGCACTTGCCAAGAGCTGGTTATCGAATCCACTCTGTGCTTACGCGCATTGGGGCATCCCTTGCGGTACTGCATCTCGGGCTCGCGAGATCGACCTCAACGATGGAGAATATCAGCCACAGCCCTTGAGGAATGATGCATACCCTGAAGGTCTCCCATGGCTGACAGGAGACGATGCAGAACGAGTTCGGCTAGCAAACAAAGTGTACGAGGTCTGTTGTCGCTTGATTCTGTTTTGCCACTTCAACAACATCAGATGGTCGCTAGAACAACCAGAGCGATCCATTTTCTGGCTGACCAAATTTTGGAGAATGGTTTTGCAGCATCTCACGCCCATCTACGTCGTGTTCAGTGCCTGCATGTACGGTGGCAGCCGACCCAACAGAACTGCGATCGCCACCGACATCAAAGAGCTGCAGGAGTTGGCATGTGACTGCACTGGAAATCACAAACACTTGCCATGGGGCCGAACAAAAACAGGCTTCGCGACAGCTGCGGAGGTTGAATACCCGTTGGAGTTATGCAAAGCTTGGGCAGCGGCCGTTTTCCGTAGCATCTCCAAACAGTTCGACCTTGAGCTGTCCGTCCTGCCGGCACATCCCGACAAGAAAGCCAGGGCAAGTACAGTCAAACAAACTCGTAAGTCCCTGGCATTTATGCAAGATTACAGCCATGTTGAAACAGCACGTTTCCAGAGAGCACCAAAGTTTCGTGTTGGCTCCAAGCTGCCTGCCACCCTTGGCGCCGACGATGCCACCTTGCCAGCATATGCCCGCATCCTCCGCATCTCCCAGATCCCTTCTCACCAAGACGGGGGGAAGAGCAGTGAGAAGGCAACCATGTTTGAAGTGGCATTTGGCGTTCCATGGAGTGAAGAAGCATTCATCAAAGAAGCGCTACTCAGGGGGCACCCAGTGCACCTGTTCGAGAGTTTGCACTCCAACCTCTCCAATGCCATTCGTAGCAATGTGAACGAAAAGCCCGAAAAGATCGTGACCGACAGAGCAGCATGGTTCAAGAAATGGACTCGTAGAGCGCTGGAGCTCAGAAAACAAGAAGCAGACCTGCACAAGAAGATGCCTAGCCATAGAAGACAGATCCTCGAAGGAAAAAGGATCCTGTTGCTCAGGGAGATCATTGAGGACATGAACTACCCGGACCCCGGCATTGTGGATCTCATCGAGAAGGGGTTTGATTTGGTTGGCGAGGCAGGAGGAGGGCTCGTTCTGCCCAGAGATTTTGAGCCAGCGACCATGTCCATCCAGGACCTTGCCGACCATGCCAAAAGTAGCAACGAGGCCATCTTTCATTCCACCAAGTCCAGTGGCGACAGTGAGGTCGACGAAGAACTATGGAAGAAGACTTGCAAGGAGGTGGAAAAGGGCTGGCTCTCACGCCTTCCACTCTCTGAGGTGCCCCATGGCCGTCTGTCTCGGAGGTTCGCAGTCGTTCAAGGAGGCAAAGTTCGACCCATCGACAACTACTCTGAGAGCCAAGTCAATGATGCCGTCAACGTCACAAGCAAGTGCACGGTGGACGGAACGGATTGCATCGCTGCCATGATTGCCGAGTACATGCGCCTGTGCGAGGTCAAGTCTGTGAACCCCGAGTTGCTTGGCAGAAGTTTCGACTTGAAGAGTGCATACCGGCAGCTGGCGGTCTCAGACTCTTCTTTGAAGTGGGCACGGCTGGCCGTCTACAACCCGAGCCTCAAGATCACCGAGGTGTTTCAGCAGCACTCTTTGCCGTTCGGCGCCAAGGCGTCTGTGATTGGATTTCTCAGATGCGCCAGGCTGATCCAGTGGCTCGCTCACTCCTTGAGCATCATGGTCACGTGTTACTTCGATGACTACGTTTGCGTGGCCCCCAGCAACTTAGCCAGGAACACAGACCAGTCGTTCTGCCTCTTGCTGGACCTGTTGGGATGGAGATATGGCGTGAGTGGCGAGAAGTCTGACAGCATGAGCCACGAGATCTCCGCGCTGGGGGTGATGGTTGATCTTTCCGAGACCTCAGAGGGTAGAGTCATGGTTCGCAACACGGAGAAGCGGAAGCACGACCTCTCGAACCAGATCGATCGTGCCCTGTCGAGCCGAAGGTTGACCACTCATGAAGCAACTTCTCTCAAAGGCCGCTTGGGATTCGCAGAAGGTCAACTTTTTGGACGGGCGACCAAGCGATTGATCAATGTTCTTGGTCAGCATGTGTTGCGCCCTCCGAAACGTGGAGTACTGAGCGATGAAACGGTGAGCGCCATGCTTCAAGTCAAGGGACGGTTGTTGAATGCCCAGCCTCGTCTCGTGAAAGCTGATGTGGGAGACGTTTTCTTCTTGTTCACGGACGCTTGCTTCGACTGTGAAGCCAAAGAGGGTGGTGTCGGTGGAGTGTTGATCGACCAGACTGGTTGTGTAGTGAGCTGGTTTGGTGGAGAAGCAAGCCGCGACTTTTGTGAATCCTTCATGGCTGAGGATCAGGAGCAGGCGATTGGAGAACTTGAAGCCTTCGTTGTCCTAGTCGCCTTCCGAGTGTGGCAGGACCTGGTGCGGTCCAAACATTTGTTGTGTTTCATCGACAATGAAGCCGCAAGGTATTTGATTTTGAAGGGGTATTCCAAGAACCCGGTTCTTTGCAACATCGTGCACCACCTCGCCAAAGTCGAAGAGGAGTTGTTCGTTTTGCCATGGTACGCTAGAGTGCCTTCAGAGTGCAACATAGCTGATCCACCATCAAGATCGGTGCCTCACGAATTGTTGCCGGAAACCTCAAGGGTTCCTATGCCAGACTTGAGGTCAGTGCTGGATGAAGCGAGCAAGCCTTTGAGCGCCTCCTGAAGAATGGGGGGAAGAGGGAGGCCGATCATGAGACAAGACTGGATCTCCCCGATGCTGTCTAAAAGCGCTGAAGGAGTCAGCAGAGCGAGAGAGTGCAGTTTGATGTTAGCATGTGTGATAAATCTGAGAATTGAATTGTGCAGATTAAATAATGAATGCAGTTGACGAAGTTGACAAAGAACTTATTTAATCGAAACGTATTTGTTTCAGTTTAGTGAAACAAACTTGATTCAATTCGAAGATGTTTCATTGCGTTCCTTGGAAGCTTGTATTCGGAATTTGTTCATGACACGTAGTCTCTGTTCAAGGGAGAGGTGGGTGGGACCTCTTTTAGTTTGCGCGTGTTGCTTTTGGGCAGTGGGGAGCCATGGACGAACCTGGACTTTCTGCTTGGCTTGAAGCCCTGCCTGCCGTTGTTGTTGAAGAAGCACCTCATGGAACAGACCGCGAAGCTGGCAATTCATCTGGTGAGGGCCAGCCACAAGAAGAGCCAATGTTGGCAGCCGACGAGGCTCCACTTGAAGTGAACTTTGAAGTTGGCGGCTTGCCTGGCGATGGGCAGGCGCGTGGACGACAGGTGCTGGACAAAAGTCCGATCTTCACTGAGAAGGAGCGCGCAAACTATGAGAGGACAATCTTTGAGCAGAGCTTGACATCGATTGGCGCAGGGATGCCTGCCTTGCCATGGGAGCAGGGCATCTTCAAGGAGATTTTTGGAGAAGCAAAGTCGGACAACTTGCCCACGCTCGAGGACCTAGTCGCTTATCCAGCTGGAGCGGCCCCTGGATCGTCAGATGACGCAAGACTGAAAGTTGAGGTCACAGGTGTCACATCTTCTTTGCCTGGAGACATGCCGCTATATGCAAAGCATATCAAAGCGCTGTGTGACAGAGATTATGCAGCAACGTTAGATCTCACCTGGACTAAAGCTTTGGCAAGTTGGTTGATTGTTCTCGAGGACTGCAACTTCGAATCGTCAGTTGGTCACTACGTTCAGGAGAAGTTGCAGGCCATGGACAGGGATGGTGCCTTGCTGTGCATCAGAGATGCGTGCGGGGTGCGTTCACCCTCCACCGTGTTGAAGAGGGCTCGAGACTTGATCCTTTTCGTGAAGTGGTGCGAAAAGAATGACCTGCGGTGGTGGCCCATCAAGGAGCGGAACCTTCTCGACTACTTGCAGGGCAAGGAGGACGAGAAGCGTAGCAAGTTCATCGGCAAGAACCTCATCCATGCTTTAAAGTTCTTCAAGTACATCATTGGAGCAGAGTTCAACATCGAAGCTGTGCTGGGTCCAATGTTGACCGGGAAAGTGAGCAGAGTTCTGGCGACCAGAGACCCGACTGAACAAGCTAGGCCATTGACAGTGGCAGAGGTGTTGAGGCTTGAGGTCATGCTGGACACAGTCAAGAACAAGTATGACAAGTACTTCATCGGGTGCATCCTCTATGCCATCTACTCTCGTTCGAGATGGAGCGACATGGCCAACATCCACCACTTCTTCTTCGATGTGATAGGCACAAGTGATGGCCCTTTTGGATTCGTGGAAGCCAGAACCAGAATCCACAAAACTTCGACCACTGCAGAAAGGAAAGCGATGTACATGCCGTATGTGGCCTCAGTGAATGGCATAGGCAGCGGCAGTTGGGGCCTTAAGTGGAAAGTCGTTCTGGAGGAACTTGGGCTGCTTGAGCTGGGACCGCCTCATGGTCCAATCTGCAGAGCTCCTACGGTTGACGGTGGCTTCACCAAAAGGCCCGTGTCCACGAGTGAGGGGACGAACATGATCAATGCATACCTGGGATACAGAGATGGTGACCAAGCCGCCACAACCACTCACTCCTTGAAGAGCACCCTGCTGGTTTGGGCAGCACGATACGGCTTGAGCGAGCCAGTACGCGGTTTGTTGGGGCATCATTCTCTGAAAGAGAATAGTGTGGCATGCTACAGTCGGGACATGTTGAGCCAGCCCATGCGTGAGCTTTGCGCCATGGTCTACAACATCAAGCTTGGGAACTTCGTACCAGACGGGACGCGCTCTGGGTGGATGGTGCGAAAACAGGCACCGTTGTTCGAGCCACATGCACCTGGTGACGATGAGGCAGATTACTTTGGGAGTCCGTCGGTTCTGGAGGGTGAAAAAGATGTTTCTGCCGACACCGGCTTTGACCCGAACAACCCCTTCGGAGAGCCTGAACGATCTGGCAACGCTGAAGAGCACAACGAAGAGCCAGAAGAAGGTGCTCGAGATGACGGAGACGAAGATGGCGAAGACTTCGTGGAGAGCGCCAGTGAGAGTGAAGATTCGAGCGCAAGTTCCGACAACGAAGAAGAGCTGCACAAAGAGAAGGCCAGTGTCATCGAGAGCGGCTTGGAGCCAGAGGTAAAAGGGCCTTTGATGCAGAACAAGAGGAGCCGCATGCTGCACACGCAGAACCCTGACCCGAAGAACCATTTGCAGCCTGTTACGTCATGTGGACTCCATGGCATCGGTTTCAACGTCTTGGCTGAGGGGTCGATCTTTAGCTGGCCCAAATGCAGCAAGTGTTTCAAAGATGCTGACAACAAGTCGGTGATAGATGTAGTCAACGCCAGCAAGCGTCGGCGTATCTGAAGGCAGCATGCTTTACCTAAGAAAGCAACTCAAAATGTAGAGAGTTGAGCTAGAGGTGAATGAACTTGCATCAGTGGAGCGTTTTGCTTAGTTGCCACCGCATTCGACGTGAGGTCACTAGAACGGCAAGCATGACGTTTGTTTGGGTGACATGAGGTCCTGTTTCTTTTGACAAGAGGTCGCAGTGTTTTCTTTGTTTGACGTAGCTTGGGCCACGAGGGCAAATGCTCTTGAGGAGCCCCGTTCGGTTCGATTCGTGCCATGAGGGCCCCTGAGTTGTCTCAATTTCTTCTTTGATGATCGTGGCCATGAGGGCTCAGCAACGATCCCGCCTTGAGGGCTCTGTGATTTCAAGGAGACGTGAATTCAATGACATGTTCTAGGAACGCTTCATGTGTTTTCATGTGCTACAACAATTTGTTTTCTTGAAGCTCGCACGCCTTTCCTCGATCATGGCGGCAGCTACCAACCTCACGGAGAGCACTGCAGCGTTTGAAAAGCAGGCCGCGAACTTGGGGCTGGAAGATGGTTGGATTCAAGCTTTGAAGAATGCCGGGGTCACAACATTGGGGCGGTTGGCCTTCAGTTGTGGTCAGCCTGGGACGCCAGTCACCGAACAAGACGTTCGCAACCTGATGACGGCAAGTGACCCTGGTGGCAGGATTACGGTTGGGGACCTTGCAACAATGAGAAGGTTGATCTTCGAAGCACAAACTGCCGTAGTTGCCTTGGCCAGATCTCAAGCCGACCCGAATGCTGATCCAACCTTGAGGAAAATGCCACCGGCAGAACGGAGCTCACGCATCGCCAATCAACGTGTGAGGCTCCAAGGATTGTCAATGGAAGGGAACATGGAGGTGGCTCACCAGGTCTACGACCAGCTGAATGGAATGATGGAGGCTGACACCTTGAAGTACCTGGCACTGTCGAAGTGCATCACGCGGATGCAAGAGATCACTTCAGCAAAGCCTCCCAAAGAGCTGAAGCTGGACACCAGTGGCACTGGAATTACGGTCAAAGACTCAATTACAGAGCAGCAATGCTCAACTGGCACAGAACTGGACCTGTTGGAGGCCATGACGCGCCGGAGCCTTGCCTTTGATGCAATGGGTTTGGTCGACTTTCACATCTTCCAGAAATGGATTCAATACCTCTTCAACTTGATGCGTCAGCCTCCGCCGCCAAACTTCAAGGCACCCACGTTGACACAGTTGCTCAGGGCAGAC